AAAAAATCTAAACAAACCTTGCGACACAGCACAACTGATGAAGAAGCAATGCACGATGATAAAGGAATGCTTGAGGCGAAGCCCGATAGCGCATGATGGCCGTCGGATCATAGGTGGGGTACTCGGGGCAAAGGGCCCAACTACACGACGACAAAGGCTTCGCTAGTGATGCAGGTGGGGCGCTAAGGGGCAGGTGGCATAGGATGCCGATCGGACATCGATGAAGATGCTGATGGGGCACATATGGGGCATAGCCTTCACTCGGGCACAAGCTTCGCTAGACCCCGTTGGTGGACTAGGGGTGCTCAAGGCGAGGTAGAGGCTTCACTTCGCCGAGGAAGAAGGGTTTGCTTTGTTGTGAAGCCACTCAAGAGTTGGAGCAAAGGTGATTGATGGGTAGTAGTGGTCTAAGAGGCGCTTGGGGCGACGGTAGAACCTGCCTCTTTCACAGGTGGGGCAAGGGCAGAGGCTTTGTTGGTGAAGAAGGAAAACCAACGAGGAAGAAGGATTTCAAAGGTTTCACAATGCCTCTGCATGTGATTGTTGAGAAATCTCGAGTCTGACATGCAAGCATCATATATAATCGAATTTAAAAAAAAAGACACGGCTAGACATGTGACCGATCGTGTTAGTGACGAATCTATGTCGGACACGTGTCGGACATGGTATGCCATCTAAACCACCGTGTTCGTGCTTGAAGATACTCATCAAAATGGCAAATGTGTGTGATAAATGATAATTGATAGACAATGAGCATCAAAGAATAGCTTAGCCCATGCTCAATACATTCCAAGGCTAATCAATCGATCGAGATTCTTAACCACCATAGACTAATTGATACAAGCAATAATGCAATCATAAAAGTAATGGATGGATATAAACATACCTAGCTCATCTAAACCAACATTTTTGTTATGATGCATTCTCTACTCAATCCAGGTCATATCAACCTAGAGCTCTATGGACCTATTTCACCCTCAACCCACCATTGATCAAATGATTTTGGAGGTCCTAGAGGGATTAATTTATCCAACAAGGCTTTAAGCATAATGAGCATGACTTAATTTCATCTTCATCCTGAACTAGACTGCTGATGAGCTCAATTAAAGCTCAAAAGATATCATCCATATCAACATCCATGGAATCTAATGGAGCCCACAAAATGCTTGCACTGGTCAGCCATGCTAAGGTGTTGTGCAACCCTAGGATATCATTCAGGCAACATCCATAAACCTCACTTGGTAAGGGTTTATTTGGTCAATTGTGCCAGTTCCTACATATGGATGTTCATGTAATTTCATCATTATTTTTAGTAGTAACAGAGGTTTTCAAAGTCCAATCTAGAATGTATATAAGTCAAGATAAGTAGGGTTATATTAGTCTTAATATTTTCCTATTAATACATGTGATTTTAGGGGTTCTAAAGTCATCTAATAGAAATATTATATATACAGATATATAAGTAGGTACAAGCTGTTGAATCTCGAATTTTGATGATGAAACCAATTGATAGTGTATATGATTTAATCTGTGTTTTGAGTGACGCAATATGCTTGTAGTGTATATGATTTTGATGATCAGGGAGAAACAACTAAAGCAGGAAGAATCATGTTGGGCCGAAGAAACATGTCAGAAGATTGGACGTCGGGCCGAAGGATCGATCGACGTATCGACAGAAGACTTTGGGCCATTGATTCGGGCATCGGGCCAAGAAGAACGGATATTGCGCCAAAGATATCGGAGTTACGGAGGTCAACTGGCCGATTGGCAATAGGTCGCAAGAGAGGCCGATGCGCCGAAAAATCGGAAGAAGCGTCGATGGACCAATAATATGCCGGACGACATGATTCATGCTTAGTAATAATTGTCTAGATCGAAGTGTATTTTTATGTGTGCAGGATTAACTATGATAACAAGGCATAAAACAAAATGAAGTCCCGGAGTCAAGAACGCGATTTCGTTGAGAGTTCGAGAGTTCGTCGAAAGTCCGGACGTTCGTCGGAAGTTCTACCGGAATTGACCGAAAAGTCCTGAAGCTTGCTAAAGAAGCTCGTCGGAACTCGCCAAGAAGATCGTCGTGAAGTCCAGGAGCTTGCCGAGAGTTCGCCGAAAGTTCGTCGGAAGCTCGCCAGAAGAAACCGGACTTATCTTACTTAGATTATGTCTTAGGAATCGTAGTTAGCACATAATTAGAGTTGTGATTGGGAGATAATCCCATCAACTCTGTTAGGGGCCAACTGGGCCCGAAGGTGGGCTGGTTTGGGTCGGATTCAAGGCCCAACCAGGGTGCTGAAACCCTGGCCGACGATGGCACCACCTGGGGAATATCACCCCAGGAAATCTGGGCAATGGTACCGCCTAGTAGCAGATCTTGCAGCGGTAGTACCGCCTAGGAACGACGATGGTATCGCCAGTACCCAGGAAACCTGGGATGAGACCTTTTTAGGCTCCAAGTTTGAATCAACTTGAAACCTATAAATACCCATCTCATCCCTGATTAACAAAGACAAGCACAAAGAGTTTTAAAGTGAGAAAATGCTGTAGAAATCACTTGAGAAATCCCTCATCTAGATCTAACTTTAGAATTCTATTTAGAGAGGAGTGTGCGTGCTTGTAAGGGTTGTCTCCTAAACCCGATAAAAGGAGAAGAGGGGTGTAAGAAGGAGGTTGATCTTCGCCGATTAAAGGAAGATCGATAGTGGATGCCGGTGGCCTCGACGGAAGAGGAATCGACGAAGTGGATGTAGGTCACGACGATCGAACCACTATAAAAATCCGATTTGCCTTTACTTCTTGCAATTTACTTTTATAAGCAAACAGCCTCTCCTTATTGTGCTTTTACTACGCCTACACTCCGTGCACTTTCAAAGTTATTACCTTTACGAAACGATTTTCATATAAATCAAATTTTATCGTACGAAGGATTTTTACCGCTGCACTAATTCACCCCCCCCTTAGTGCCGACCCTTTCCTAACAGTTGGTATCAGAGCCTTGTTTTCCCATTTGGTTTAACACCCAAAGAGAAATGGCTCTTTTCGGCTTCCAAGAGGGTCACTCTCTCATTCGTCCTCCTTTTTTCAATCGGACAGACCACACTTATTGGAAAACTCGAATGAGAGTTTTCTTACTTTCATTAAATCTCGATTTATGACACATAGTCGAATTTGGTTTTCAAATGTCTTCTCTTCCAATGAACCATTGGAATGATTTGGAGAAGAAGACTTTTTCTCTAAATACAAAGGCTATGAATGTCTTGTTTTGCGCCTTAGATAAAACCGAGTTTAATCAGGTTTCTATGTGCAAAACGACTTTTGACATATGGCGCACTTTCGAAATCACACATGAAAGCACTAGCAAAGTTAAAAATTCAAAAATCAACTTTTTAATGCATGATTTTAAACTTTTTTCGAATGAAGCCGAACGAAACCATTATTGACATGTACACCTGTTTTACGGATGTCGTCAATTGTTTAAAAGCTCTTAGTAAAAGTATTTCGAATCTTGAACTTGTGAATAAAATTTTATGCTCACTCTTTAAAATTTGGGATTCAAAAATAATTGCTATACAAGAATCAAAAAATTTGAATACTTTTTTTATCGAAGAACTCATCGGGTCTCTAATGACCTATGAAATGACGTGCAATGCACGTGACGAACTCAAGAACAACCTTCCAAAGAACATGAAGGATTTGACACTTAGAACACATGAAGACCACTCAAGCATATGCTCAAGAGATGGTAAACTTGAACTACTCATAAAATTTATAAAGTTAATGAAACA